TGACCTGCACTGTCTTTCATAACCCTGTGTGGGCCGTAGTGTTGTTTTCCATCGTTCGACAGTGAGCGTGTGTGTGAATATTCTATATAAGTCCTTTTTTGTAAATGTCATTTTTTATGGCATGTCCAGTTGAGACTTTAATGCTGCAAATTGAGCACAACGGATTCAGCCATTATTTTTCAAAAAGTATTCGCTTTCCTTGGCATCCTCTGTTGTTCTCATAGTTTGGACGGGACTGGCTAGTCCCGCCGACTGCCAGAAAGACTGTGCTCAAATAAGAGTCATGTGAAGACATAAGGCCTTTCCTGCCTCAGGCTGATGGTTAGATTAGGAATATTCATGATCATACTGCACTCATACACAAACAGAATGAGATCACTCACGTCTAGATCATTCTAATTCAGATTTATTCAGGATAAAGAATGGTTAAGAATTAGTGGATATTATATGCTCCCTACTTTTATGATTTGGAATGATATTTGCTGTCAACTGATACTGATGAAAAAGATTGCTTTCATGCCAGTTTGAGTGAGCAAATAAATAAATGTACCTGTATCTTTGTACAGTAAGTTGCAAAAGACATAATAAATAAAGAATTAAATAAAGAAATAAAAAGATGGTTACCCCACATGACATATTAAATCAATATAAATACAGAAACATAAACATATTTATTTATGAAAAATGTATTATTATTATTATTATTATTATTTTAATCATTGAGAATCTATTTTGACCCAAATGAAAAAAAGTTTTTTTTGTCATGTTTCGTGTTAGCAAAACTGCCTGAATCAGACTGACACACAGAATTGTGCATAAGCTGATTTGTATAGTGAGTACTGACTGTTTGGATCCCAGTCACTAATACTTTTGGGGTCCCCATAAAGTTTGGCACATTTTTTTTTCTTCCTTTACTTGTGGCTGTGACATTTTGGTATCATGTCTCCTAATTAGCCTTCTAAGATACTTTTAAAAAATCTGCTAAGTAGCATGTTCGTGGTTCACTGGAAAGCTCTTCCCAGCTTTAATGGCTGCATTTGTATCTCTGACTGATTGCCCTTGTAGATGTGATTGCTCTGCTTTTATTTTTGCTCCATTCAGTGAGCATGAAGAATAGGCTCTTTCATGGCAGACTTGCGGTTGTGGACGTGGAAAGCAGTGCATAAACAGCTCTCAGCCAAAACAAAAACTGCCAGCAAAAGGAATCCTGTTTCATTTATACAAGCAGGAAATTGACCCGTCAGAGTATGAGAAAACCAGAGAACTGATACTCTGTATTGCAGGAACATGTCCAGTGCATCTGCATCCTGAGTGCCGGGCTGAGAGCTGAGTTTAGGGATAACAAATGCCCACACTAAGACTCTAGGGGCACTCCTCTTCTCTTCTGTTTAGCATGAGAATGGTAGAGAGATGGGCCATGTCACAGGTGGTGCTTTCCCTACCGTACACCCCAGAAACGCATAAGCAGGCAGGCACTAATGATAAAGTGAAAGCCTCCTGGGCCTCGTATGAACCAGAGGATGAACCTGCGGAATTGTGTTTGGGAGTAGAAAAGGATTTGTTTGGGAATGGCACTGGTGTCACTGCACACACACACACACACAAAGAAAACAGGGGGTTTTGAGGGTGCAAGGAAGTCTGAGATGTATTTATCCATCCATTCTCCAAACCCTTTATAATATGTGGCAGGGATGCTGGAATCATTTATTTATTTATTTATTCAAATGTACTGTGGGAATGAAACATTACATGTACATTTGAAAGTATTTGAAACAGTGTATCTTTCTGACCTTGAATACATAATGAAAACATAACAGTAATATTGGAATGCTTAGAATATTTTACACTTATATGTATCGGTAATATGAACACATACATAACTGTCTTATATTGCATTGTCATACACTACTGTTTTAGAGTGAATTACAGCTTGATATAAATGAATTTGGTATAGTAGTAGATATATTTTTAGCATATTACATTATAATATATGTAATATACAAGTAGGCCTATAGCCTATCACATTCCACCATTTCAATAATCTTTAAGCAGTTCAAATGAAATATTTAAATGCAGTTTTTAGTATCATATAATGCAATACAGTGTCTCATTTTGTGGTAAAACAATAATAAAAAATAATATAATTGTGACCCTGGACCACAAAACCAGTCATAAGTAGCGCAGGTATATTTGTAGCAATAGCCAACAATACTTTGTAGGGGTCAAAATTATTGATTTTTCTTTTATGTCAAAAATCATTAGGACATTAAGTAAAGGGCATGTTCCATGAAGAGTTTTTGTAAATTTCACACCGTAAATATATCAAAATGTAATTTTTGATTAGTGATATGCATTGCTAAGAACTTCATTTGGACAACTTTAAAGGCATTTTCTCAATTTTTTTTACACCCTCAGATTCCAGATTTTCAAATAATTGTGTCACAGCCTATTTATTCAGCTTTCAGATGATGTATAAATCTCAATTTTAAAAAACTGACCCTTATGACTGGTTTTGTGATCCATTGTCACAATTGTGTTTGACATGACATTTCAAACAGTGACAGCAGTACTTTGCTGTTTGAAGAAAAAAAAGACCTCATGTTGAGGCACACTTCAACACTTGAACATTGGCACTTAACATATAAGGACTCTGAGACTATACATGCCACAGTTTTAAGTTTGGATGTCCTGTACAGAGCACATTCAGGGCTTTCAAGAGATACCAAATGTTTGGATGTTTCACTATGACCACTCCCTCTCCTTGGTCTTCAAAAATGTCTGATATTAATTTAGTGACACTCTTATGGAAATAGAATACTATTTTGTAATTATCATTTAAATCGGACTAATTTTTAAACTGTGTGTCATAAATCAACATTTCAGGAAAATGTTATGGGGTTTCAAATCAAAATATGACTTTCTGTTACGAAACAGGACGTTGATTTCATACATGTCCTCATATGAGGACACCGGGACTAAAAGCATGTTTATTTTCATGTTTATTGCAAGCATGTTTTAAAAATGTTTTTATATTATGTTTATTTTGGGAGACACAACACATGAATAGGGAAAGAAATTATATTTCAATTTTCCTATGAAATATTATCTTATCTAAAATATAAAAATATAACAATATTATCTTATCTAAAAATGTTATCTTAAATAAATCTTGTCAATTATTACTCCTATTATTACACTTATTTTTTCATTACATGTTGCCCCAAAAACACATTAATATGCAAATTAGATGTAGTTTATAGATAGGCTATACATTACATATAATGAGAAAACCTGTTTATGGCCATTTTACACACATTTTGCATAAAGAAAAATGGTATATCAAATCATTCTTTTATAACATAGTTGAGAATTATCTTTATGCAAAGTTTGGAAAAAAAATCCTGAAAACTAAAAATGTATTGGTGATTTAAAAAGTGTTTTTATTTTTTACTCTTTTTATTTATTTATTTTTTATTGAGTCCCGATGTCCTCTACCAAGGACGTGGCATAACTTATGAATGAAATATCATAACAATTATTATTATTTTTTTTAACATTTTTTTAATATTTCAATTTTCCTATGAAATATTATCTTATCTAAAATATAAAAATATAACAATATTATCTTATCTAAAAATATTATCTTAAATAAATCTTGTCAATTATTACTCCTATTATTACACTTATTTTTTCATTACATGTTGCCCCAAAAACACATTAATATGCAAATTAGATGTAGTTTATAGATAGGCTATACATTACATATAATGAGAAAACCTGTTTATGGCCATTTTACACACATTTTGCATAAAGAAAAATGGTATATCAAATCATTCTTTTATAACATAGTTGAGAATTATCTTTATGCAAAGTTTGGAAAAAAAATCCTGAAAACTAAAAATGTATTGGTGATTTAAAAAGTGTTTTTATTTTTTACTCTTTTTATTTATTTATTTTTTATTGAGTCCCGATGTCCTCTACCAAGGACGTGGCATAACTTATGAATGAAATATCATAACAATTATTATTTATTTTTTTTTACATTTTTTTTATGCTCTAAACAATGTAATGACATGAACATTTAAAAAAAAAATCCCTAAAATGTTTTGCGGGGTCTCCAGAGGTTAAGAAAACAAACAAAACACCAAAATGACTATTTTACACATTTTAACCTGATATCTTGAAGTTGAATAAAGAGTATGTCCATAACTTCCCTTACAGGAATTAGAAAATATTTCACTGCTGTCACTGTTTTCCTACATGTCAACTATCCGTTTTGTTTTGCTGTAACGTTCAGTGATTCTAACAGATCCGGCGACTTCTCAATTAGCCTATTTCAACACATCTTTCTAGTAAACAAACGCAGCTCTGTTCTGTATAAGCACGCTGTGATTCTGTCTGTGAAGAGGAATGACTGTATTTTTATAGTATCGTGGAGGAGGTGGAGTGTTAGGAGGAGCTTGTCAGTCTGTCACTGATCAAGAGCCCGTTTTTAAGAGCACAACGAGAAGTGAACGTGAAGCGCACTGTTTCCATGCGTGGAGCCGCATAACATCGGAAGATTTCACAAATGGACACTTTCAACCCGTCCTGCTGGTTACTGAAAGTTTATTCTCGTGGATGTGAACGGGAACGGTGAATTGAGCGAAACTCTTTTGAAAAGAGCGTGTTGTAAAGGGCTTTAAAGTTTGAAATACTGTGCCGGTGCACCAGATGTTGGTTTTGACATCCATTATTGAATGTTCGGATTAATCGCGCGGACTGACTGTCTTTTTAAAGTACTTCCTTTACATTTAGACGTTTTGGATACGTTTAAAACTGAATCACAATGGATTTGCTGACAATGACATGACAATGAAGATTTCCAAAATGAAATCTTTTTTCTTCAAAACAACTGAGCATTCAGTGTCAGTTACTGTATGGTGAAGGATGAATTGAATTTCTGTTATAAACAAAACAAGACAAATATCATCTGCATGGCATTGGATGTACTAATCATTTTAAGACTTTCTTGAGGTTATCACAATGGCCCATTACATAAAGATCGTGATTGTACTTTTCCAGCTTATGATTGCTGGATCTACACTGGAGATTGGAGCGTATGATTTGGAGCGCGGCCGTCCATCAAAATGTGAACCCATCACCATTCCCTTGTGCCAGGGAATCGGCTACAACATGACACGGATGCCCAACTTCATGAATTATGAAAGCCAAGAGGAAGCTAGCATTAAACTGAACGAATTTGCTCCTCTGGTGGAGTACGGATGTGATGTCCACTTGCGATTTTTCCTGTGCTCTCTGTATGTGCCAATGTGCGCCGATCAAGTGTCCACCACTATCCCAGCATGCCGTCCTATGTGTGAACAGGCAAGACAGAGGTGTTCACCCATAATGGAACAATTCAGTTTTAGATGGCCGGACTCATTGGATTGCTCAAAGCTGCCAACCAACAACGACCCGAATGCATTGTGCATCGAAGCTCCCGAAAATGACACTCAACCTGAGACTAAGAAAGGTGAGGGAATGCTGCCAGTACTTCCGAGGTCCAGGGAACCCACAGCAGGGAGCGGACATACCTCAAGCGGCTTGCGGTCCTGTGATAACCCGGAGAAGTTCCAGTACGTGGACAAGAGTGAGTCATGCGCGCCTCGTTGCACTCCTACGGTGGATGTCTACTGGTCTCGGCAAGATAAGGACTTTGCATTCATTTGGATGGTGGTGTGGTCAACGCTTTGCTATGTTTCTACAGCATTCACAGTTCTTACCTTCCTCCTCGACCCGCAGCGCTTCCAGTACCCCGAGCGTCCCATCATCTTCCTCTCCATGTGTTACAATGTCTACTCGGTGGCCTTCATCATCCGCTCGGTGGCTGGGGCTGAGAATATTGCTTGCGATCGGGAAAACGGAGAGCTCTACATTATCCGGGAGGGTTTGGAGAGCACAGGGTGCACCATAGTCTTCCTCATCCTCTATTACTTTGGCATGGCCAGCTCCATTTGGTGGGTCATCCTCACCCTCACTTGGTTTCTTGCAGCGGGACGAAAATGGGGCCACGAGGCTATTGAGGCGCACAGTAGCTACTTCCATATGGCCGCCTGGGGTATTCCTGCGGTGAAGACCATAATCATCCTCACTATGAGGAAGGTGGCTGGGGACGAGTTGACGGGATTGTGTTATGTGGGCAGCATGGACAGTAATGCTCTCACTGGATTTGTCTTGATCCCTCTATCCTGTTATCTCATTGTTGGGACATCTTTCATCCTTACGGGGTTTGTTGCGCTCTTTCACATCCGCAAAATCATGAAAACCGGTGGCACCAACACAGAAAAACTGGAGAAGCTCATGGTTAAGATTGGAGTCTTTTCCATTCTCTACACGGTGCCTGCTACTATTGTCATCATATGCTATTTCTATGAAAGGCTCAATATGGAATACTGGAAGTTCAAAGCTCTGGAAAACAAGTGCGTGTCCTTTCCTGGTCGCAGGAGCGAGGACTGCACCTTGGACTTGTCGGTTCCCACAGTGGCTGTGTTCATGCTGAAAATTTTCATGTCATTAGTGGTGGGCATCACTAGCGGGGTTTGGGTATGGAGCTCAAAGACACTTCAGACCTGGCAGGGGTTGTGCAACAGGAGATTGGCCGTGCAAACGAACCGCAAGCCCTGCTCCAGTGTCAGCTGCAGCAGCTCCCACTGTCATTACAAAGCACCGGCTGTGACACTTCACATGAACAAAACGGACATGTACACAGACAGTCCCACACATGTTTGAGACTAAAGGCCTCTTCTCTGGAGCCATGCACAGACTTTTGTGGCTCATATCATGATGAGATGCTCAGGTTCGACTACAGATCATGGTAAAAGTCACAACATTTGTCAGGGGTGGCTTTTACAAGCCTTTCCTTGACATAGCAGAGGTCACTTCAATAAAAGGGAAGGTTTGTTGTATGGAATGAATGCAGCAAATTGCAGAATGCTTTAATTTATTGTGGATATTTAAGTATTGCTGGTTGTATAGTTTTGTACTGTATGTGCTATACTGTATATAAGGAAGAGTTTTAAATAATTTAACAGTATGTTATATTTTCCTCAAAAGAGGAGCAATAAAGCATTTATCATGATGTGTTTTCTCCGTTAAAGTTTTAAAAATATGTTTATTTTGTGATAAAGATTAGTTTTACTAGTGTTACATGCAAAATGTTGTACTGTACAGGTAAATCTTTTTCTTATGTTTTTTTAAACACGTTTGAAGTTTATCAAAGTTTAGTAGGAATAATTTTCTATACAGTGAAAATTAAACAAGTTTATTAAGGTTATAAGAATAATTTTCTATGCCAAGTGTGTATTATTTCAAACCCGAATTCAGTACTGCATTCAGTTCGATTTATTTAAGAATATAAAATACTGAAAAATCAGAATCAGAATTCTCAACACTTCTCTGTTAACACATCTGTCTAGCACCAAATGTAAAGTAAGTGATTATGTTACAACGGGATCCATTTATATTTACAGTTATCAAATCCTCTTACAAAACCACCAAGCCAACTTCCATTAAAGTGCGAAGTTGCAGTCAGCTGAGAATGATGCTATAAATTTATGAAAAATTAAACTTGTTTCTTTAGCCTAATTCCTTTAACCTTTTTTATTTTTTACATAAATGTCATTTTTTAAAATAATTTTTGTTTTGTTTTCTGAATGCACAATTCTGCGGTTAGGAAATCATAGGCTGATGAAGAGGAGATATGTTTAGAATAGTTCTGTACATAACTCATATCAAATAGTTTCAACTTTTTACACTGTTTTCATGTCTTATATCTGACATTATTTGTGTTTGTGATGTTCATAAAAGCTGGGGGTTTTTGCAACCTTAAATGATGAGCTCCTATCAATTTGTAAGACAAAGAATAAGAAATGGTTTTAGAAATTGTAGTTCTTTACTTTTTAATTTCCAAACTGTTTAAATATAAAATGCAATAGTATATAGTATTTTATTAAATACACCTAGATTAACTATTTTAACTTCTTTTATTTATCTTTTGCACTTTTCCTGTGCCTTTGTAGATATTGTCCAATGATTTGGCAGGTCTCAGGCGTTTGAGTATAAACTGCTGTTCCATTTGGTCATAAAAAAGCATGTTTATCTTGGAGCTTGTAGCCTAAACTTAACAGTGCATTAACCACATGTAGCAGTCTGTATAAACCTAATTTAACACATGGCTGTTTTCAGTTTTCAGGTTTACAGTGCAGTAGCATTTGTAAACAGTAGTGTCTTAAGACAAACCAGAGCCTGCTGCATCAGCCAGCAGACTAGGAAAAACTGAATGAAATGTTAATATACTGGAAGATGAATGTTTAATTCCTGTTAAATACTACCAAGACATTACTCATTTGGCAACATAGATGGTTAAAGCTGTGCTGTTGTTTAAAAAAAAACATAAACATAATTCTTGACTATGGATTTGTTAACATTTAACAAGATTATGGAATAGTTTTCTCTGGCAAGTCACGGTTATATTAACATTTATTCATTTAGCAGACACTTTTATCTTATAAGTGACAATGCAAACACACATGACATGAAAATTGAGAAGTGTCACAAGCAGTTTTTTTAATAAGAGGGAACAATATTTGTTGTACTGTACATAATTCCAGGTCTACAGTATAAGAAATATCAGTACACAAGGATATTAGAATTGAGTTGATAATGGCTTTTAAATTCTTTGCAATTACAATTGATTTTAAATGATGTGATTGTAAGTGTAGTTTTTTGGTAATATACAGTATTTTATTTTTCAGTATGAACTATCCATAAATGTGTCGTGAAACATGATAAAAGTTCATGCATATCCATAAAAGTTATCATGCACAGGGGGGAAAAACAGGAATTTCCAGAAACACTGATATTACTAATTAATAATGAACAACTGTACTTAAATGACCGTTAAGGAGTTCAGGGTCTGTATGTTTTTAAAATATTTTTGAAAGAAGTCTCTAATGCACACAAAGCTGCACTTATTTGATCAAAAATACAGTAAAACAATACAATTCTGAAATATTATTACAATTGAATATAACTGTTTGCTATAGTAATATATTTCCAAATGTTATCTATTCCTGTATTGGCAAAGCTGAATTTTCTGAAGTCATTGCTCCAGTCTTCAGGGGCACATGATCTTTCAGAAATCTGATATGCTGGTTTTGTGTTCAAGAAGCTTTTCATATTATTATAAGCATTGAAAAAAGTTGTGCTGCTTAATTAATTAATTAATTATAAATATAATCTATTTATTTAATTTTAATTGTTTTAATTATTTAAATTTTTCTATTATATATACTTAATCATATTTAATAAATTATTAAATAAATGTAATACATTAAATAATTTTATCTACCATGGTAGAGTGGTTAAACAGCACTTTAGTTCCCAGAGTGCTCTATTTTACCTTAAATCTTGATAAAAATTGAAATATAAAGAAGATTTCAGTAATTTCAGTAATGTAGCATCAATGCATTGCTAGAATTACAGTTTTAGTTTGTCTTTTTTTACTGGTAATCAATTAGACCTCAGTGTTTCCTAATGTTTTGAGCCTTAAAAAGTGTGTGATCAGAGTCCTATAACAGCAGAACTGAACCAATATTACAGCTAATGTTCTCAATTCCCTGTCACGACCCATGGAACTGCTGCTCAAATACACACAAAGACCATATTTGTTATGTAGAATCTGCCAAGATCAGCTATACATGCATGTTTTTGAAGTAGTTGTACGACACCACCGCATTTATGCAGAAAAAAAGCTTTCCATTTAAACAGCAATACAGTTCATTATTTTGCTCATCAAAACCCAGGCCATAAAGGCTCCATTGTACACCTTGATGTTTAAGGCTTTTAGTTCTATTTTAGGCAAAGCACAGTCAAAAGAAACCCTTTTTGCCATTTGAGTCCATTATCAAGTGAATGTTAATGGGCTTGTAAGTGAGCTTGAGAATGGACAAGATAGAATAGCCTTGTAATTGTCTGCTAGTTTGGAGGAGAAGCTATGTGTCTGGTAAAGGGAGGATCATTAAAGCATCTGGGACTTTCCCTCCTCTTAAAGAAGCCAGAGGAATCGAGAACAAGAATAAAGGAGTGGTGCTCATTACTCTCTACCCCATGGGTAGTATCCCATTCCTCATCATTTGATGTGGAAATGAGGCTATGGTAAAAGACCATTGAGAAGCTGTTGTCACCAAAAGGACTTTCCACCAAAATGCTTGAGTCTCAGCCGTGAGTGTTATCTACACAGCCACGTCCCAGCTGCCCAACGGCTCTGCCTTTCGCTTGTGTTAAACACACACACACACACACTTGTTCTCTATTTGCTTTTGATAAACAGTTGACATTGGACTTAAAACTGTACAATTTGTCACGGTTTTCATATTTGCAGGGCTAGTAATGGGTGACATTCAGTGAAAAAGAAATACACTTTGCACACAAGACACTTATGGAAAATAACTTTTCAGAAAGTTTTATATTAAATGCAATTAGATCGTAAGAGTGCTTTTTGACACACAAGTAGGACTTGATTTAGTAACACTTTAGTTAACACTGAACTACTGTACTACTTACTGTAGTTACTACAGTAAGAAGTACAGTAGTTCAGTGTTAAAGTGCAGTGTAGTAGTAACAGTAATTATGCATAATTACAACTAACCCTAAACCAAACCCTAATTCTAATCCTATATGTGACCCTGTACCACAAAACCAGTCATAAGTAGCAGTACAGTAGTTCAGTGTTAAAGTGCAGTGTAGTAGTAACAGTAAGTATGCATAATTACAACTAACCCTAAACCAAACCCTAATTCTAATCCTATATGTGACCCTGTAGTAATATACATTGCTAAGAACTTCATTTGGACAACTTTAAAGGCGTTTTTCTCAGTATTTAGATTTTTTTGCACCCTCAGATTGCAGATTTTCAAATAGTTGTATCTCACCAAATATTGTCTTATCCTAACAAACTATACATCAATAGAAAGCTCATTTATTTAGTATAAATTGCCATTTCAAAAAATGGACCTTTATGACTGGTTTTGTGTTCCAGGGTCACGTATGTATTTGTTGTTAATTAATCAGTACTTAATTGTATAATTACACTGTAAGAAGGACATCTTAAAATAAAGTGTAACCCAAATAATTTCATAATTATTTCTATTGCCTTAGAAAATTAGTGCAATTCTTTAAAGCGTGACAAAAGATTATTACAACATAAAGATTTAAAATGTAGAAAAGTGATTTGATTTGTTTGTTTGTTTACAGATCACATTTTGATAATGCAAATTCATATATTTAAAAGTGTAATTGTCTTTTTCAGACCATTTACTGCTTTTTTCCATAATTATGAGATGAATTATACTCACTTATAAGAAGGTCAAAAAAGGAGTTGTTAAAACTTGATTTATTCTCTTTGATAAATGTATGAGTTTTTATATGACTCTGTTATCACATTCTTTGGTTTCTCACAGAAGATTTACACCACAGCGATCTGGATAACATCACAGGAGTTCAAAACGAATGGCCTGATAGTGAGGAGGACATTCCTGCAGATTTCAAAAAACACTGTTAGGTACTGTCTAGTAGTGTTGGGAGTAACGGATTACAAAAGTAATAATATTACAGTAGTATATTACTTTTTGCTGTAACGCAGTAATATAACGCATTACTAATAAAATTTGGGTAGGCCTAATATTATTACTCGTTACAATCTCAGTAACGCAAGTTACAACAACATATTTTAACTCAAAATTAAGTGGTGAATTTACCAACACTGCAAAACAGCACCAGAGAAAAAATTTGGCGGGTAAAATATCTTCTGTTGCTGGAATAGGTTGTTTGCACATGACGTCACTGATGACTCGAGGGCAGGAAGTGATT